GAAGAGACCTCATTGGCTCCTGGTAAAAACCTCGTGAATGCCTGGGTCACGACTGAGGGTAGAATGGAGTGTGAGATGGATCGGCAGTTTGGTGTGGCTTCTGCAGTGATGCGGGCACAGTAAAATCATGGTGAAGAGGGAGCTGAGCCAGAAGGCAGAGCTTTCGATTTATTGGTCCATGTACAACCCAACCCTCACCTGTCGTCATGAGCTCTGGGCAGTGACCGAAAGAATGAGATCATGGATACAAGCGACCGAAATGAGTTTCCTCTGTGGGTTGGCTGGGTTCAGCCGTTCAGCTCGGAGTAGAGCCGCTGCTCCTTCGCATCGAAAGGGGTCAGTTGAGGTGGTTCGGGCATCTGATCAGTGATGCCTCCTGGGCGCCTCCCACTGGAGGTGTGATAAAGTTTTAATCACGTGGTACGTTTGTTAGAGGAAGAAACCTCTGCAGATAATTCGGCTCCCAGTAAAAAACTTCCTGATCAATAAACACTGAAGGAAATCTAACCAGGAAAACTTTTCAGTTGGATGCAATTTGCACTCTTCACCACAAGATGTCACTAAATCCCTCTATATGTTTCACACTGGACCTTTAAAATAAACATTTCCAACAGAAAAGACAGTATGCNATTAATAATTCATTTCCCCCCATGATTATTCTCTAATGACTAAGAAGAACAATTAGTCTTAATAGTCTGCCAGTACAGAATAACCAGTACGTCGCTTCTGCAGACTCCAACCATCCAGTTCAGTGTATGTAAAGTCAATTCCCTGTTGAGGCTGAGAAATCAGTAATCGACAGGCGGCAGCGTCACCATCTGGGTGAACTCCTCATAGTTGATGGTCCCGTTTGACTTGACGTTTGCCTCTTTGAAGAGTTCATCCACTAGACAAAGAAGAAGACAGAGAAAACAGCTTTGTGAGTGGAACTGACCAAAGAGAGCGCTGCCTGAAAACTCATTTGTCTCCCACGATTATCAGAGCTTGAGAGTCTCTGCTGCTCTTTGCCTGAGGGAGATTTTGACTGGATGACAACTCCTTCACAGAGTAGAGCTGCCAGCAGCCATAATCTGAGTGTGTTTGCTATTCCTATCAAGAAAACTGATATGTTTCACCCCATCATCGAGGATTTCTACTCAATTTAAAACTCACAAATGTTTCTAATACTGTGATTCAGTTATTTAACAGGAACAACTTTTTTCAAAAACCACCAGAGAACCAAAAGTTTATCTTATACAAAGTATTAGTATTATTACTGTTGTTATTTTAAGATGTTTAACAGTAGTGGAACTACACAGAGAGTTCAAACCTGGGGTGGGACTTCAAAACCTTCTGTGTGGAGTCTCCCCGTCAGTGAGAGCCGTCGAGAGTACTCCAGCCTCCTCCCACAGTTCAAAGACGTGCAGGTTAGATTCATTGGTTGTCTATCTCTATGTGTCAGCCCCTGTGATAGTCTGGGTGTACCCCACCTCTCGCCCAATGTCAGCTGGGATAGGCTCCAGCCCCCCCGCGACCCCCAACAGGATAAGCAGTTACAGAACATGAATGAATGCCAATAGTAGTGGTGTTTGCATTTTATGCTACTTTATACTTCTCCTGCACTTCCACTACAACTGTTTGCCAGCTGTTGTTACTGGTTACTCCAGAGGAACACATTATTTTGCTTTAGAAGTATTTTTACTTTTGATACCTTGAGTACATTTTGTTATTGGTAGTGTGCTTTTTGTTGCCTCTGATTTTAAACCTTTAATGCAGGATGTTAAATTGCCACTTAAGTGAAACAACAGTAAACAGCTATCATAGGGCTGTGTAACATTCAAATTATTATGATATCAGTACCAATACCAGCGTTAAAGTAATTCCAACAGAGTATTTCATACCTTTATTTTTACTTAATGTACATACATAGTGTGAATTGAAGAATTCCACCACTGATCCTCCTGATCCAGATGATTTTACATGAATACATTTAGCAGTGTTAAAGTGTTAAAAGTTTTAAAATATCTATGAAATAATTGTACAAGCAACTCTGTCAAATACACTGTGCTAAACTTCACATCACAAAACTTCACCACAACACAAAACTTTACACACTCTCCCATGATGGTGAACTAAAACCCTTTGGTGTGAGTATGAATCAAGACATTAGATGACATCATTTTGGGGTTTTGGAGACACAGACCGCCATTTTTCAACATTTTCACACATTTTTCGATAAAATGATCAGTCGACTAATCGAAGAAATAATCGACAGATTAGTCGACAATGAAAATAATCGTTAGTTGCAGCACTAATACCGTGGTATAAAAACTGACGGTTATCATCTTGTGTGTGCGCATGCTTTTCCTTTATACCTGGAATGTCTGTCAGATGTTCGCCAAGGACAAAAGGGTTTTAAGATTTCAACTGTTACAAAGCATTTGTTCAATCAAAAATGTACGTTTTCATTCCTCTAACGATCATTGAAGCCGATAAAAATAATAATATTTGTGTGATATTGTATACGATGATATCATGATATTTTCTGAGACAGTCATTGTAAGTTAGACGACACATATTATATCCTATAAATGCTCTGGCATCTAAATCAGGCACCAAAAATCTCCTGAATACTCAAACTGGTGTGTTGCAGCAGCAACAGTGACCACAGTCGCTCACAGTCACTACAGTTAGGAACTAAACAGTATAGTGAGATCTTTATCTGCCTTAATAGTCCGGCAGTCCAACAACTTGATAGATGTCTCCCCACTAAGAAGCAGCTGAGCCTTATTTGAATATAAACTGCTTTATGTGCACAGCAGCACCCATCCAGAGGCAGCACATTGACAGTCTTTGAATTAAATCTTTATGTTGCTTTGAAGCTACTAACTGAAATAATGAGGGGGCTCAGGCTTTGAAAAACAAATGAGATAAAAATTAAGCTCAGACATTTAACGGGATATCAGCGTCTCTGAGTCTTTGCTTCAAAAGTGTTGGACAATCCAGTTTAAAACTTTGGCTTGACTTTGCATATGAAGTGAAACATGAATGTTAATAGTTTTAAGTTGCTGTAAAAATCCCAAACTGGGACAAACTGTGAGAGTGAGCTAAAACACGAAACAAAGTTTGACTGCAGAGTAACAAATGCAGAGCATATTTTCATGTTAGCATACAACTTTCCACAACCTGCAGTTTTCTATATCTGTATTCAGGAGGATACCCCTGAAAAAACAACCAGGCACGCAGCAGAAAATAACAGTGAGGGTAAGTTTGTCAGAAATGTGAGTAAACATCAGGACGAAAGCTGCGTTGCACACACAGGTTATAGGACAGCTACGAATGGGGCAAGACTGGAGTGGATTTATGGAAGCAGCTTGCAGTTCCCAGGGGAGATACTGAGCTGAAGCCAGCCTCGCTGCAGTCAGAGTTACAGTGGATTCTTGTCTTTGTGGAGCTTACAGCGCCACAGGAGGGTGTAGTAAATGTGACACATGAAAGGAAAATTCTCTTTGTGAACAGGAGGGGGAGAGCAGCAGAGGCAGGCCAGGAGAGAAGCCATTCTTCTGACAGAAATATTTATTGATTTGTCATTTCATGGCTACAGTCTTCTTATATAAATTCCATATCCCCCCAAATCCCTAACTCCTCTTTACAATTCCCAGTTCTTACCCCTAAAAGTCTGACATTCACTGCAGTCATTAAGTGTTAGGACAGAGATTGTCTTATTCATGTTTTGGCTCTCCTTCAACACACTAAATTTTGAATCTCAGTGACTCTGACTTTAAAGGGAAACATTTGTATTTTTTCAGCCTGGTCCCTTTTCCCCATGTTTGTGTATCTAAAGCCTCATTTCCACCAAACACCTTTGGTGTGGTACCTTTGGAACCAAAACTAACCTTCAGATATGGTACCTAGACCCTAGCATTTCCACTGCAAACAGTACCCTTAAATGTGGGCGGGGTTGTTGTCACTCACTGCTCCATCCAGCACTCACTGTATCTCCTCCTTTATCAGTCTACACCTTGTTTATCGTCCACAGAACAAGGCTGCACGCCAGCATTTTCAGAGCAAAATAAAACAGGCTGCAGTGAGAGTCTCTCTCCATGGGATATTTCAAAACAGCAGGTTTGTGCATTTAGTCCTTCTCAGGCAAGCTCGGAGGTTTAGTGTTGCTGGAGCCCACAGGAACAACGCTCCGGGACACTTTTTTTACTCCGAGTGATGATTATAATATATGCAGTTCACACAGTCCGGTCGAAATTAATAAATATATATATAAACGCTTGAAGATCCACTCATTACTAAAACTGTCAACTCATGCACTGGAGTAACATTACAGGTTAACGTTCGACTTTAAAAGTCACCGGCAGTCGGCCCAATGAATTAAGTTATTTTTCCTCAGACTCCAGCTGCTGTGAGAGGCAGCAAAACATGCTTTCATTTTATAGTTACAGTTTACTAATAAAACTCTCCACAGTATGAACAGTGGTTACATGAGCCTCAAAACCAGACACAACTCAGCCCTGAGCAGAGTGACTGTCCTCTATTGACCAATCAACAGACTGCAGTGTTCACAGCTCCACCTTTTAGTACCAGATCTGTGTGCTAGGTACCCCAACAGAGAGGGGACCAAAAATGGGGACGGTACGGAACTGTTCCATTGGTACCATCCACAACTTTTCACAGTGGAAACGGGAAAAACAACGAACTGAACCAAAACATAGTAGCTCAGTGGAAACGGGGCTTCAGACACAAAAACATTTTAAAAGGGGGTCCAGGTTGAAAAATGCATTAGTTACCTTTTAAGTTTAAGGGTACTGGGGGTGTTCATATTGGATGAACAGCCAGGAACTCTTGGCACTTTTTACTAAGAAAAGGTACTACATATTTAACACAGCCTCATAGTTGATTTCAATTCCAGTGTGTGTATAGAGTGTGTCAGTAAACCCGGAACTCCATTAGCGCTTTTAGCACTTCCGGTTCTCTCGTCTAAAAGTCAATACGTTTTTGAATGGGATTTTGGTAAAATGCCTCAAATAAGGTCTGTGGTTAACAAAAGCTTAAGCGAGTTTCAGGTTTTGTTCTACGACATAAAACACGTCAGTAAATACCCTACTTGTGAATTTTGAAGCTTTTCTGTGTCGTAAAAAAGGCGGTTGCTAACAAGTTGCTCAATACGACTACAAACCCTGTCGGGGACATTAAACGTCATCACTCCCGAACAGGCGAGAGTGCTGGCAGTCCACCATTACAGCTTCTTATTTAGCTTAAACAGTCCGATTTCCCCATTATACAATGTTTTTAAAATAAAGCGGCCGAAATCAGTTGAAAGCTTAGTGGCGGTGACGTCAGGAGTCATGCAACTGTGGAGTAGTCATGTAGTCCGTTAAAGCCTAACGTTAGCTTTTTACTTCTGGCGATCGCATTTAAGCTTCAAATGTGGTATGAAAGGTGTTCATATGTGAAGATTATCTCGCTGAACAAAACCTGTAAGTACCATAAACTTGTGTTAGCCACAGAGCTTATTTTTTGACATAATCCAAAACGCAATGCAAAAATCACATTCACTTTCTCTTCCAGGAACCAGCACGATGCTAAACTTCCGGGTTTTGACATCAGCCCTGGCACACTCTATTACAGAGCCAAATAAACTGTCCAAACATACGGACTGGACTACACTATAACTTTGCCCCATACATCCATGTGCTCACTGTGGATTGTAGTGAAAGTAGCCTCAGTATCAACGCAGCACCTTAGTAGCTTCCTCTAGTCTTTTCATCTTGAGGTTTCTCACTGATTAGAATTTACTTACCTTCTTTGTCTGTGAGTTTCTCCCCCAACTTGGTGAGCTTGGCCCGCAGCTCAGACGCCTGGATGTAGCCTTTCTTCTGTTTGTCTGTCATCCTCAGTGCCTCCAGGATTTCTGCCTTGGGGTCTTCCTGTTGCATCTGTCTGTGCATCATCGTCAGAAATGTGGAGAAGTCCAGCTCGCCTGTCTTTTCTAAATGTGAATGTAACAAAAAACATTATGTCTGTGTCAAAAAATCATAAAGCATAGTTACATAATGCATCAAAACTGACTGTAAGGGCCAGCAGGGGACAGAAATATTGGGATTGTCAATATAATTCCTTCTTTTTCTTCCTAAGGCTTTTCTCTTTTTTTCCATTTAAGATTTGGAGTCAAGGGTCTAACGATAGGGGGTATCATACTGTATGTTGTACACTGTTGATATTTTGTAATTTTAAAAGCAAAGCAGTAGGCTTCATCAGTGTTAATATGCCACTTGAGCTCGGTCTCATCGAAGTCGTAGTCATCGAAATCCGGCACTTGGGCATTGACTTGCAGTGTCAGAAACCAACGAAAAAGGTGTCCTTTAACGTTGGCATGATACGCGGCCGGTTGCTGTTATAGTTTAACAGTGCCCGGGAAACGTAGTGGTACAAGGACGAAAGTTAAGCTGGCAAAAGTCCAACTGGTGCCAGTAGGAGGGATGGATCCAACAAACACCGACCGTCACCCCAGAGAGCGGTGTTCACCTCCCATAAGATTATGAAGCCAAACCCTGTTCTTATTACCTAAACCTACCCACATGTTTATTGTTGAAAGAAAAAGGATCTCAATTCACAGTGTTGTACTGATGAGTGTGTTTATTTTGAAAGAGACTGTATATAAACTGTAAATTTCCTGTGAAAACTGAGATGTATTTTGAAAGAAGACAATGCATGTAACAGGCAGAACTTGACACAGTGTCCCAGAACGTCAGCAACCAACACACCCAGGGTACCTTTAATGTCGTATGTGGACGTGGAAAGTCCATGACCAAACGTCGATATGTGACACGGTTGAAGTGAGAATGTGTTGGCCACTTGATAATTACTTTTATTTTATTTTTTTAATTTTTATTATTGTTTTATAAAAGCCTTGAACTCAAGATTTGCAATAACAAACTAACAATAATGCATATAAAGAAAGAAATAACTGTATATATAAAACAATAACGATAAAGGATTTCTGTGAGCACCACCCATAATAACCACACTCAAACAGTTAAACAGTTAAAAGCAAATTACACTTCAAAGTTTTAGCTTAAGACCTGTGTCACCTTGAACAAATTTTTGCAATCTTGACTGGCCCCTCAAACTAATTAGATTCACTGTATGTACTCAACCGATTTTGTGAACTTGTAGATGTCTCTCAATTTCCCCAAACGTGGGGCTTGTTCCCAGGCAGCGCATTACTGTGATCAGATTGTTGGCAGCAATCTTGCCCTTTTGCTTCTTGTCATACAGAGAGAAGCACTCCTTGTATTCTGCCAAGGAAATGGAAAAAGTAATGGATTACATCAGCATAGTTCATTTCACTGCATTATTTAATAAGGGACATTTTCAGTACAGCAGGTTTACTTAGAGAAACACCAGCATTACTTCACAAGTGCTACTAAGACTGAACAAGGACAGACTTTGATCCATATGTGATTCCTCATGTGTTTTTCAACACGTATTAGTTATTAAAAGATAAATGTTGAGAACTTAATGGAAATAAACAGATAGTACAAGTCAAATATATTAGATAATAGTAATAGAAAAGTGTAGTGTAAAACTCTTACCATTGATTTGAACTGGTGTGAAGAATTTAGCCTGCAGGGTGAAAACAGAACAACATCACTCGTCAGGTAAGATACAAATATTTCTGTTACAAAAGAAAAATACATGAAAAGTTTTATTGGATTTCTCGCTCACCATTGTTGCAGTCACTTTGTTTCTCTCCAGGAAGAAGACAGTTTCCTGTGGTGTGTGTCACCTGTCCTTCCACCTCCGTTTAAAGTCCACCACCTGTAAGCCTTGACGTAATTTAATATGTGTTGCTGTGGTAACGCTGATACCAGATCCACAGTGCTGCTTTGTCCTTTCCCTTTCCACCTCACCACTCTGATACAAGGAAGGGACCAATTATCACCAGACACCATATCATACTACAGTGTCTTATCATATATTGAAGTACTTTGTAATCACATAAAAAGCATATACATTTGTTGTCATGAATAAAACACATAAAGGCTCTTTGTAGATGATTCGGTGATTTAAAGCACATTCAGGATCAAATAAGGTTAGTTAAGAAAAAAATTTGAGGAACTAGAAAAGTGCACGCAGCAGAGAGCAGATCTCCACCAGGCAGCCAATTTTGAGCATAGATGTATAATAATAACTCAACATGGGACCCCAAGCCCCCAAGCCAAACAAAGGTTTCTAGCTTCCATGGTACGCGGCCCACTGAATATGCACAGTAGCGTTTCCCCCGTTGGCACCGCCCGCTAGTTCCCACTCAGCTCATAGACTTTACACTGTGATGACATCAGATTTTGGAATTGTTTTTCTTGACTTGACAACAGTTTTACAAATATAAAACCTTCATAGATCAAAATTCATAACAGGAAGAGTCATAAGACCTTGACTGCGGCTCGAGATGTCCTGTCAACTGTTGTACAGACGTCCCTTTCATAATGGTGGTCTATGGGGAACATGTGTTTTGGACAGCAGGGGATTATTTCGCTGCAATACTGCAAGTGGCTACTGGAAAAAATTGAAAGTAGTTGGGGGGTCATGGTGTTGTGCTGGCCGAGAGTGATTGTGGCCTCTCTAAATCATGCATGCAGCGGAGCTGCACCCAGTGGAATTGTGCCTTCTGGTTCCCTTATAGTCAAGATGGCGGCGAAGATGACAAAATGGGAAATATTAAGTGAATCATGACATATTGGGTATGGAATTAATTTAGAGATTCTCTTGTTTAAAATGAGACCAGTCTGATATATATATTTAGAACATGGCACTCTTAAATACTTGATTCTGATTGATTAATCAACAAAATTCTGCAGTGTTTATTTCTTGAGGTATCACCGCTGCTCTGCTGCTCCGTTGCTAGGGACGCCATAGCAACGGCCTTAGACTAAGGAGCATCAAAATCAGTTAACTTTAGTCCACACAGGCCAAATAGGATCGGAGTGGCATTTCTTTTTGTGAATTTTGAATCAATAAAACGTGCTTTAATCATTATTTTGTGTCACATCACTGAATGTTTTAGTAGTAAGCCATGTTCTAAGCGGGATAATGCGCGTCGGGGTTCCATTCCCCTGTCGGGAGTTATTTTTCAACTGTCACTGGCTCACTATACATTATCCCTTACATGTCAGTTTGGAGGGGCGGCACAGTGGTTAGCACTGTCGCCTCACAGCAAGAGGGTTGCCAGTTTGATCCCGGGTGTGGGAGCCCTTCTGTGCAGAGTTTGCATGTTCTCCCCGTGTCAGCGTGGGTTCTCTCCGGGCACTCTGGCTTCCTCCCACAGTCCAAAGACATG